TTATGCGAACCGATTGAATGCGTTTTTAGGCCACTATATACAGTACATCAGGATCAAGTTGGTTTTATTAAAGGAAGGCAGGGTCCGGATCAGATCAGGAGAGCTATAGATCTTATTTCACTGCTTAACTCTTCGTGGGACGGTAGTCTCTCGCAAAAAGGGATGTTATTATCAATAGACCTACAAAAAGCATTTGACTCGGTCTCCTGGGACTACCTGTTGTCACTGCTTAAGCTCTGGGGGTTTGGCCCCCACTTTTTAGGTATGCTTCAGGTGTTCTATTCTTCACCTTCAGCCCAGATCCGCTTACAGGGCTACATATCAGATCCTATTTTGATATGTAAAAGGGACTAGACAGGGGTGTCCTCTCTCACCCCTGCTCTTCGCTATGGCGATTAAACCCTTAGCTATAATGCTTCATGGTAGTTTGGATATAAAAGGGATCCAATGTCAGTCAGTGGATCACAAATGTGCCCTGTTCGCGGACGAGTTGCTGCTCTTCGTGACATCCCCATTAGTTTTATTACCTAACATCCAAGTCTGTTGCACTATCAATCTATCTCCTGAGCAGTGGTCAGGGCTTAAGAGCTCCTTTCCTTTTGAGTAGCGCACCGATTTTATTTAATATCTGGGGGTTAAAATGACATCTTCTTATCCCCAAATATACCCCGTAAACTATCCTCCACTTTACAAACTTCTTAGGGAAGATATGATTGGATGGTCCTCCTATAATCTATCCTGGATAGGTTGTCGCATTCAGTCAAAATGATCTAGTTTCCTAGATCATCATCCTGTCAGTCAACAGTAAGGAAGGAGTGTAGATGTCCTGTGTGCATGTGACCAGGCAGCATGGAACGCTGATGGAGCGGCATACACACACAAGGGCAGAGAGCTGGTATAATGTCGCTCATGGCAACTGCTTCCTATCTGCATTCATGCACTCTGGCCAGGATTGCTGCACAGTGCCCCTAAGAGCTGCACAGGCCCCGTGGGAGCACATACAGCCACCCTGAGAGCCGCACAGCCCCCCCAGAGAGCCCCACAGAGAGCCCATATAAACCACCTGAAAACCCTTATAGACCACCCAAGAGCCACACAGCCCCCCTGACCTGACATAATAGACCGTCTGAGAGCTGCACAGCTCCCCTGAGAGCCTGTACAGACCACCAGAGACCCCACAGAGCCCACCTGCAGAGCCCCCCTCTTTTTTTAGTATTAAGGATGCACTGGTAGCATTTTTTCCAGACCAAGTACTCACAGATACAATTACTGATACATTTTGTTTAGTGTCATGTGACAGTTTTTCTAAAACAATACAGATTAATGATTTCAGGATAGTGGTGGAGCGCCAGGGCCCAGTTGCAGCTGCAACCCTGGTAGTTCTCGTGAAAATGCCAAATATCAGCACTGGTTCTGAACATCCCTAGGCAGAACCCATATGACATAGATGAAAAAAGCAGGAGTAAGTTAGGAGGTTTACCATCCTGAGAAATAATAAACGGAGCATTGGTTAAGAACTGAAAAGATAGAAAAGCACTCTCAGCAGCATTACACCTTCCTCCCCAAACAAAAGGAGGGATAAACAATGTAGAGGTAGCAGAGACCCTGTCGTTAGCTCAACAACAGGAGGTAAAAGAGTTTCTGCAATAAAAGATAAATGTATTAAATGTGATGCGGTAACAGAAATCTAGCTATGTGCCTGCTTAAGGCCTTTTGGATCCCTAAAGTCCATAGAAAAGCCACCACAGAAGAAATATAGAAGAAAGCGAGATGGTTCTGTGAGATTTTGCAACAAGAAATCAAATTAAACAAAGTGCCAAAGTTTGATACATAGCTCATGTGCGGGGTTTATGAAATGAATAACATACTGGCCCTATAAGGTTGATTCCCAGGATTCCCAGGATTCATGTACACCTAGAACCTCTGACTTTTAGCAGAATTTGTGGCAATTTTGAGCCATACATCAGCAGCCTCACAGCAGCCAGTAATGGTGAAGGAGTTGATAACCCAGCCCCTCCCTTGGAAAGGCATATGCTTCGATTGAGACGAAGTGACACCCGAAGTGGGGCGAATGGCCTGCCGAAGGCCGGCTATTGGCCCTGTAAATGACAGCTGGGTTGTCATTTGCAGCTAACAGTTAACTGTTCGCCCAGTTGTAATGACAGATCAGCATCCCCAAATGACCTGGGGATGCTGAACTGTCATTAAACAATAACAACTGGGAGGAGCCGGCCATGACGTCACAGCCGGCTCCGCCCAGTTGTTATTCATTGGCCGTGACCTGCTAGAAGTCTCTAGCAGGTGCCAGCCAATAGGAAACAGTTGGGCAGAGCTAGCTGTCACTGCTAGCTCTGCCCAATTGTTTGTTTTTTGTCTTTTAAAAAAAATATATTTATTTTTAAATAAAATAGCTTAACAAAGACATTTGGCAGGCAAACCTGAGATCATTTTAGTAAATGCTGCATATTTAAAAAGATTGAAAACAACTTTTTGAAAGTACAATAAAATGTTAAAGCTTATATGAATTTCTAATGATTTTATTTTGATATATTGTATTCTTACAAGTATTTCAGAATTACTGCCTCTTAAGTTATTTCTCATGGCTCGAGTTTCTGGATCCTGGGAAAGTTAGGGATCACCATTTTTCAGAAGCCAATAGTATTATTGCAATCAAATGGTTGGGTCCAAATCTATCCTTTCACCTGTGCTAAAGTGCTAGGCTCAAGTGAGAAATATATTACCAGAGAGTACTGTTGTTGTGTGTCTTTATCCGATGACTAAGGCTAGGTTCACACTAGGGCAATCCGTGAGCGTGTGGCAATCGTGGACAAAACCGCTAGGTCACGGAATTGCACACCACCACCGATCGCGCTGGCGGTGCCGTTATTTTCTAATGGCACCCCAGTTGCGCCAGGCTGATCGTGCAGTTTCCCGCTGCAATACTGCCTGTGCAATCGAGCACGATCAGGAAAACTGTGCGGTGCGTGTCGCAAAGAAGGGTACATGTACTTTTTTTTCACACACGTGGATAAATGCCACATGGATATAAACATAGTGGGGCCACGCTACAATAGCAGCGTGCAATCGTGCATGATCACGCGGTCCCAGGACGCGCGTCCCGGGATTGCCAATATGTGAATCTAGCCTAATACAGTTCTGTGTCATGTTCCCTGTGACTAATAGCATTTGTGTGACTTTCCTCCTGTGAATAATTATGTTCTTTGTGGTTCCTCCCTATGACTGATGGCATCCTGTGTGACTTCTCTCATCTGAATGATATCATGTAGACATGTAATCTTAGATTTTATTGAATCTTGTCCTTGGTAGACTAATACCAATTCATTTCTGCAACCCTCATTTCTTATCTGCAATATTTTCCTTCATAGGTAATTTTGGAGTTTCCTAGGCTTTTTACAATGTTAGCAATGCCCAAGTTTTCACCAAGTTAAAATTAAAACCTAATTTAAATGAAAGATTAAGTTTTCTGCTTCTGCAATGGAAAGCACTGAAACTCACTAATACTAATTTCACGAACTGTGAGGACTTACCTGCAACCTCCCCCGCGCTGTCGTGTGGTCTCCTCCTGCAGCCGGGGGCCGGACGCGCTGCTCCCTGCAGCTCTGTGCCCGGAAGCTGCTGCCTCTGCCTCTTTGCCCGCCTCTACGTCCAAAGCTGCTCAGGAAGAGACACGCTCTTGCACTGGACCTCCTCTTAAAGGGACAATGTGCGCCTCTTCAAGTAAGTGGTCCGCCTCTGGAAGTGACATCACCTCATCGCCAACAAGTATATAAGCCGGACGGGTGACATTCTGTGCTTGGTTATTGTAAGCATATCCCTAGAGTGCCTAGCGTTATACCCGTTCTGATTCCTGTGTACGAACCCCTGGCTTGTTCTGTGACACTGATATCTTGTTGCCTGCCCTGACCTCTGCTACGTTACCGACTTCGATTGTGGATTGTGATTTGGCTACCGTGTTCTTGGACTGCCCCTGTACTTGCTACCACTATGCAGGAGATTGTGCGTTATCCTAGTCTGCTTAAGTAGAGGTACCAATCGTACTGGCAAGTTCCCCGCGTCTGGGCTCCTACCATCACCAACCTGATACCAACATTGGTTGACTTTAAAAATCAGCACCCATTATTGAGAGAGTATAGTAATACCAAATATCTTGTAACTGTCATTTTATTAACTTAAATCAATGAGTCATTCTAGCAGCTGACTCCAAAGACTGACAGATGAGTCTAGCTTTATTTTTTAAATATGTTTTTTCAAGTTTGATTGTATAATTTACATGCACTGAGAGCTTCCCACGTTTTGATTTCTTCTGTATTTTTTTACAATAATTTACCCAACACAAATATTTTAAAGAACAAGTCACAATAAAAACAAAGTGCTGCATAGATAATTATTTTAAATATATCACCTGCACAGTATGTGAAAAGTAAATTATTAATATGCCCTCATTTGCCTGTGCAGATAGCATATCTTAAAAATAAATGATTAATGATTAACCCCTTCATGACTGAGGCCCTTTTTTCCATTTTTGCACCCATGTTATATTCCACATTTTAGGCCTGAAAATGACGTAAAACCCCCCAACATTATATATTTTCTGAATGCCAAGACCCTATAGAATAAAATGGTGGTAGTTGAAAATTTTTATGTTGCGCAATATTAGCGCAACTCCTTATTAAACCCCAAAATTTAGTGACAAATTTAATTAAATGCCCAAAAACACAACAAATTACCCATTTTTTAAATGAAATATAAAAGATGAGGTTACAACGAGTAAAACGATACCCAACATGCCCAGTTTACAGATTGCGTGCGACCGTGAACACAAAATAATGCTGAAAACCCTTTACAGTTTTGGTAAAATATATAACATGCACAAAGCTGACTGAATTCAAAACCGAAATATTGTTTTGTGTGAAGCTGGCTTTTAAATAAAAAGGGAAGGTTTTTCACATTAAAATAAATCATAACATCAGCTGACTTACTTTTCTTTGCAGAATTGTGGCTGGTGTTTTTCTGAAACTCATCATCATTTTCCTGAAGACTAAGCCTCCAGTATTGGCTTTCCACTTTTCTTCTTTGTATCTGCAATGCATTTTATCGGTTAGCTATCAGTTGCATAACAGCTTAATATTTGTGGCAACAAGAATAAAGAACTTCTTATGTTCCTAAAGGATGGACACCCCTCAACATTTGCAGACATTTTGCATATAGCATCTTCCCTCTTGACCTACCTTACAACATAGTTTTTCCCTAGAAGAACCACTTTTTTGTGCAAACTAAGCATCATCATTGTTATGCTACCTCCTTGTACCTGCCAATCTATACTATTCTAAAAACCACTTACCTGTGTCAGTAGTAAGTGACAAAAAATAAGTGGTTATGCTAGGGGAGAAGCAGTTTGGCTTTACCACAGGCCCTATTAAATCCATTGTAGACCCAGACTGTAGTGTTCCCTTATTCCCACCACTATCAACATTTTTTTCCTTGTCCATTGTCTGCGTTATATACCTGGGAGCCCACTACGGCTAAGGCTGGGTTCACACCTGGGCGTACGGAATATGCGTGTTTGCCGCGCGTTTCAGAGGGCTATCCGGCTGTATCCTAATGGATACGCGCGGCAAATACGCCCCAAAGAAGTTCCTGTACTTCTTTGGGCGTAACTCTAACCAAGGGACAACATTTTCTTGAAATAAGGTGAACAATTCCTGCTGAGATAGGGGAGTTTGTATAAAGCCATAGCAGTATTATTTAAACAACCTGTTGTGGGCGGGAGCAGTTAGTTCCACGTAAGCAGAAATTATTTTCTATCACAGAAACATATTAAGTTGATAAGTAATTAAAGGTGACTCCTCCTGTTTAAATCAAAAAGAAAAGCTGCAGCGACCTAGAGTGTGGTGATATTTTATTTCTGATCTGCTGGAATGTAACAAGCAGGAGTTCTAGTCACCCCCCTCCACCTCGACCCCCAAACACTACTACAGAAAATACTTTTTATTTCTGTGTTTTGTTTTATTTCCCCTCATTTCTTGTCTGATAAAACAGTGTCAGCTGGGCAGGAAAAGCCCCAGATAGATATAAAAACCTGAGAAGGGTTCTAACAATGGAGAAAGGCTCCCTTACATTGATTGTCAATGTAGCACCCCTTTACAGTCAGTGGAGAATTACCCCTTACATTGGTGATCAGTACAAAAAAAGAAATATTCCCCATCACATTGGTGGTCACAGAAAAATGTACTCTTTTAAATTGGTCATCATTAGAAAATCGACACTTTACATTGGTGGTCAATGTAATGCACTATTACATTGGTGGTAAGAGGGAAAGATTATCTCCAATATTAGTAATTCTTGTGAGAAGGACCCCTTTACAATGTCAGTGCCTTCTTACAGTGGTTGCCAATGCTGACAAGTGGGAAGAATGCCTGTTACACTGGTGGCACGTGGGAAGAATGCCCTGTCATACTGGTGGTCATTGAGAAAAATGCACCTAACATTGGTGATCAATGGAGAGAATATCTCACTTACAGGCAGTTAAATGATCAATGGTGTAAGTGGTTACTTACCTGAGAGAGGAGAGGTATCACTGGTCCATCAGGCGGGAGATAAATCCATCAATGCTCAAGGAACCCCTAACAAACTCTGGAGGAACCCAAGGGTTCAATGGAATCCTGGTTGAAAAGGCTGATACACACTGCCTTGGACTGAATGCCTCTTCATATTTTTTTTGTTTAATATATTTTTATTGCACTTTAATTTCATACAGTTTACATATTGCATTCTATAAAAGTTGAGATAATACATAAAAAAAGACTCAAGCATATATCGTATCTACCTCTAACATACAATCTCCCCAACTTACATTCAAGTTTCCCATTATTCGTTCCTTTCTTTCAAAAACTTCCTTTGGAGGAGTAGGAGGGAGACCATCTTACCCCTGTGTCATTAAACCTCTATCCTCACCTCCGTGTCCTCAAATCCACCCACCGCTTATCGTATATTTCCCTCCCTATTTCTCTAGTGTCTATCCTATCGTGTACGAGCAACTAAAAACTTTTAACAAACTCCAAGTATGAACTACTCCCTTATTCTTCTAGTCTAATCTCCCTCTCTATGTATTTGTGATCCTATTCTACATGTACTTATTTATTGCCTTCAAATCTAGTGTCGTGTACAAGCCTGAGTTTACCTCCTCTATTTGTCCATTCAACTTCCCCCAATGTGCACTCACCCCTTTTTCTTTTCCCTACCTCTTGTCCTTTTCTCCCACTCCTCCAATAGGCATTCATACTCCTTACTACTTCACCACTCATACAGGTCATTTTCTACCTTAATATCTTAAACATCTAATCAGAAGTCTTATCTATATCCTTGGCCATATATTCAATACCCCTCTGTGGATTCTTTATTTCATTTTTTCTTAAGCTCCTCATTACTCTATCCTTCTTCTAATACCTTCCTAAGTTCCTCTGTCTGTATATAAGTTTCCCAATTTCCCCAGATCTTATGGAAACTCTCCTTTTTATCTGAGCCCTTTACACTTAGCTCCTCCATATATCTTATTTCCTCCATTGTGCTAACCCAGTTCTCTAATGTGGGTGGTACCGTTGACTTCCATCCCCGCTATATGCAGACCCTAGCTGCAACCAATACGAATCTTAGGATTTCGCTTTTTATCTTTTTTAGGGATCCAGGTATTAATGACAGTAAGGCCATAAAAGGATCTTTTTCCAAACTTTGTGTCTCTATGGCATTATATATTCCAAATACAGATTCCCAGAAAGGTTGCAGTCTAGGACAACTCCACCAGATATGCAAATATGTCCCCTCCTCCCGAGTGCATCTCCAACATCTATCTGTTAAATCTGGGTTTATATGTCTAATACCTTCTGGGCACCTATACCATCTAGATATCATTTTATAGTTCTTTTCTTTGTGGAAGGAAGATATAACGGAGCTATGTGTCATGTTAAATATTCTTTCCCACTCTTTATCAGATAGCTCCCTCCTCATCTCTTGTTCCCATCTTTTCATGTACTTAGTGTGTCCCTTATCTTCTTCCGCCCTCAATATGCCATATACTACTGACAAGGTATAGGTGACAGGTGTTTCTGATATGCACAGTTTCTCAAATGTAGTAAATGTCATGTTAAGAGTTTTATATGTCCTAAGGTGTCTAATATAATCTGATAGCTGAACTGCCTCCATCCATAACTTCCCATTGATTTGTCTTTGTGGTCGTAGGTTCATTCTTCTCTGCCACACCTGTATATGGGGAGTATTCTTTGTATTTAATAGTGTAATTGCTTGCATACCTGGTGGAAATTGTGGGTTACCCAAGATGGGAGTCAAGGGTCCAGGCCTAGATGAAAGATTATATTTAGTAACAGACTTGTCCCATACTTGTAATGCCACTTGTACTAAGAGAGGCAGTGTAGATGCCTGTGGCCTACACTGCACTGATAGCCAAGGAGGATTCCTCAAAAGCACTGGGGAAACATAAGCTTCCAATTTTACTACCCCTTTATCTTGACCCCTGTGTATCCAGTCCAATAGTCTGGATATTAGGATCGCTTTATGATAGAGTGCAAAGTCTGGGATTCCCAACCCTCCTCTTTGTTTTGATCTCATCAGATCTTTTGCACTTATTCTAGGGGGTTTGTTTGCCCAGACAAATTTCATTGCTACTGATTTTATTTTCTGGAAAAAAAGCTTCTGGCAGGAGAATAGGAATTGTCTGGAGTCTATATAGTATTTTTGGGAGGATATCCATTTTTAAGACATTTACTCTCCCTATCCATGACATTCTTAAACTGTTCCATGAGTAGAATTGAGCAAAAATATTGTCTATCCAATCTCTAAAATTAATAGCATACAGTGTGTTAAGTTCTTTCGGAATGTTAACCCCCAGGTATACAATATATTTGGCTCGGCCATCTAAATGGGTAGTTATTCTTTATACTAGTTATTACTTTGTCAGTTAGAGATATATTTAAGAATTCAGATTTAGATTAGGTTTATTTGGAAATTACTCAAGTCCCCATAGCTCTTCAGTTCTTTAAGAATATTAGGTATTGATATTATTGGAGAAGTTATTAGGAGAAGTAGGTCATCCGCATATAGTGTTATTTTATGCTGTTGTGTTAGAGTGGACATGCTTGTAATCGAGGGGTTTTTCCTAATAGTTGCCGCTAGTTGTTCCCTTACTATAACATATAATAAGGGTGAGAGAGGGCATCCCTGCCGGGTGCCATTTTTTATTGAGAAAGGAGCAGATAATTCCCCATTAACTCTAACCCTTGCATTTGGGTGTGTATATAATGCCATCACTTTGGATAAAAAGAATTCTCCCACTCCCATTTGCGCCAGTGATTCTCTGAGAAATGTCCAATTTACTCTGTCAAATGCTTTTTCAGCATCAACAGACAGAAGGCAAAGTGGTATATCTCTCTTTTGTGCTAGTTCTATTAGATCAATGACCATGGTGGTACTGTCTCTAGCCTCCAGTCCCTGCACAAATCCAGTTTGATCCAAGTGAATAATTTTATGCAGTACCTTTTTTAACCTGCTGGCCAATACTTTTGCATATATTTTTAAATCTAAGTTTATAAGAGAAATTGGGCGGTAATGTCCACATTCTGATAGATCTTTTCCAAGTTTTGGAAGCACAGATATATGTGCCTCCATTGTCTGTATAGGAGGTCCTCTGTCCTCTGTAACTGAATTACATGCTTTTGTAAAGAAAGGGCCTAGCAATCCTTCGAACTGTTTATAAAATCGAGCTGTAAACCCATCCGGGCCGGGTGCCTTGTTGTTTTGTAGTGTGGAGATCGCCTCTTTTATTTCATTTTCTAGAAATGGCGAACTCAGCGATTCACCATCCTCAGGATTCAATGTCGGCAAATTTGCCTCTTCTATATATTTCCTCACTTTGCCTACAAAATTATCCCTTGGCATTTCAGTATATTTACCTCTTAGTGCATATAGGGATGCATAGTATTTTCGAAAAACTTCTAATATCGAGGATGGTGAATGCTGCATGTTCCCCCCCTCCATCTTTAATTCGTACTATTTTAGTGTTGGATATCCTTGGGTGGATTTTCCTAGCCAGTAACTTTCCACTTTTACCTCCCTCCTCATAATGTCTTTGTTTTCCTTTATCTCTGGCTATCAACGATTGTTGGTCCAGAATATTGCGAATGTCCCTTCTTACCTCCCTCAGTTGAGTGGAGGTTTTTATCGTCACACTCGCCTTATTCATCACCTCCAATTCATTTAATTGCACAAACAGTCCCTTTAACCCTTTCGCTGCCAAGGACGTATGGCATACGGACCTACAAATGTGCTTCCAGCTGGCCAGGTCAGTATGCCATACGGACCTGGCATTTACAGTTCTACTATAAGCTGATGGTCAAGCCCTTTCTTTCTTCAATCTGGCACCATGCTTAATCAATATTCCTCTTATAACACATTTCATTGCCTCCCATTTAATAGGATTTGATGTAGTATCATCTTGATGGTCTTATATAAAATTAATAGTAATATTTATTTCCTCTTGACATGATATGTTTTTTAACAGGTTATCATTTAATCTCCAATTTCCCATATTTCCATACATATTTTCAATTTTTAATGACAGACATACCGATGCGTGATCCGACCATAATATTGATTTTATCTCAATCTTTGGGGCACAATCCAACAGCTTCTGGTGTATCCACACGTGATCTATCTGGCTATAAGAATTATGCACCAAAGAGTGATAAGTGAAATCTTTTTTCATGGGATTCAATATTCGCCAACCATCCACCAATCTCATATTATCCATTTTGTTTTTAAGTTTTTTTAAGGCCCCTTCCATTATGTGTGGTTTCCCAGTGGTATCCAATTGATTATCAAGTATTAAATTCATATCTCCCATTACCATGCTTGAACCCACTCCAAATTGTTGGAATCTAGTAAGTGCCCATATACAAAACTTGTGCTGACCCTTATTTGGTGCATATATGTTCGCAAGTGAAAATATTTGATTAATATAAAAAAATTTCAAAAATATATATCTCCCTTTTTCATCTATAACTGTGTCCTTTACATCTAATTGTGCATTTTTGTGAATCCCTATTGATACCCCCTTTGCTTTCTTATCAGGATTTCTGCTGTGAATCCACGTTGTGTAGTTTTTATCTTTAATAACCGGATTTACCCCTGTTTTAAAGTGTGTCTCCTGTAAACATAAAATATCCACTCTTTTCTTGTGAAAATGATACAAAACCTGAGATCGTTTTTCTGGCACATTGAATCCTCTTACATTGAATGTTACCACTGTTAACCTATTCTTTTACATTTTACTTGTCGCCCCGGATATAGTATGCATAAGACCTGTATATTACATTCATACTTCCATACTTTACTTTCACCGTGACATTCATCTCCATATATACCTTTGTTATATTCTTGCATGTAGGACGTTTTCCTTAACCTCCTACACATACCGCGCAAGAGAGTCCTATTATGTGGACTGATATGAGGTTGTAACTAGGGCCGAATGGCAGACCGCCAAACACTCGGTCCCCCACAAGCCCGTACCATTTAATTATTGTCTAATATTCCGGCCTTATGATCTATATTTCCTTATACTTTATTTCCTTATTTAAATTGCCCCTCTTCCCATCTCCTCCCCTCTCTCCCTTCCCCCCCTCCCCCCTACCCCAAACATCTTATACTCCAGGGAGACAAAATATATATATATATATATATATATACATGGACTAATACCCCCTTTCTTTCATATAATCAGCATTTTTCCCCACTTTAACTTCATTCAGTTCCTTTAGTTTTCCTTTGTTCATTTCTTAGAAACTCTGCGGGGCCTTACTACTGTTCATCCTCTTTTTGGGGTTTCCTCAGCCTTATTTAAGTCAATTGGCCATTCCGGTAATTGTATTGATGGTAATTCCAGGGTATCCAAGAATCTTGGTAAATCGTCTATTACCCTGAATATTGCTGTTTTTCCATTCCTACTTGCTATTGGCTGAAAAGGAAATCCCCATCTGTATCTTATTTCCCTTTCCTGTAAAATTCCTAATACAGGTTTCAGTGCCCTTCTGAGCGTCAGAGTTTGTTTTGAGAGATCAGGGAAGATGGTTATCTCCTGACCATCATATGTCGTTGATTTCTTAGCTCTAGCAGCTGACAGAATGGTTTCCTTTTCAGTATAATAGTGTAGGCGACAGATAACATCTCTAGGCCTTGTGAATTCTCCTCTGGGGTAGCCTGGTACTCTATAGACCCCATCTACTATCAACTCTCCTTCCGGGCTTCTGTACATTGTGTCTTTTAGTATAGCCTTAGTTGTTAATAACAGAGTTAGGAGTCTCTATTGTCTCTGGGATTCCACGTATCCTTATATTGTTGCGCCTGCTCCTATTTTCCATATAGTCTATTTTGTATATCATGTCTTGGAGCAGTGAGGAGTGGCTGTTGATAACTTGCTGTTGTATCTCCACTCTGGGGGTGCATATATCCAAACTTTCCTCCAGGCCTCTCACTCTTTCTCCTATATTTATGATATCTGATTTTAAGTCCTTTATCTCTTCTTTATATGTAATTTCCAACCTGGTAATATATCTTTCCATATCCTCTTTATTTGGGAGCGATCTCAGGCAGTCTCCTATAGCCTGTTGTTTTCCACCCTCTTGTTCCTTCTCCTGTACTTGCATGCTTCCAGTTGTAAAACTTACTGCACTCTGCTCTGTCCCGTTTTGTACCTCCTCTCTCCCCCTGGGTGATGTTTCAGTATGTGTACGTGCATATACATTCCCTTCCTGCATTGTACTATCATGCCCATTGCAATTCCATTTAGCAGGAGATACCAGTGTCCCAAGCTTAGAACCCCCCTCTAATGACAATCTCGGCCGAGTACCTGAGAAGTAGGATCCAATCCTTGTTGCCATCTCTGACGGCGTCTGCTGTGCTGTAATCTGTGTCTTTTTCTGTTGCTGTTGTTTTTTTCCCCCCATCTGCCGGGTTATGTAGCTCTGGTAACCACCCAAGAATATTTCTTATTCGCTGATCCCATGGGGCAGAGGAAATGGGTGAGCCAGGAGTTGGTCTGCCGTTACTTCAGCGGTGTGGATCCGAGGAGGGCCACTGCTCCACAGGGGAAGATTATTAAGGAGGAGAGAGGGTCCAGGGCCGGGAGAGGGTGCGGGAAATGGCAGAGAGGCAATTCGGGGCGATGTGGGTTAACATCTCTGGCCGTTGTTAGATAATCATATGCCGGGAGAGGGTCCTGGGAGGAGACAGAGAGGCAATACGAACAGATCAGGGTCTCTGGCCGTTGCAGCTCCGTAGCGTGTCGGGCTTGTGGGGCGGAGTCGCGGTCCGGCGTCCTACGTTATCAGCACGTTACGTCCTCTGTGTCCCTGCCAACAGCCCACTATGTTTGCACCTTGAATCGTCTCTTCATATTTTTAATCCTTTTTTACGTTAGCAATTAAAAGGAAAGGCAAGAGACAAACTTTGTACTAGGAAAATAAATGAGCAGTTTACCCTTCAACTCTCTCTAGTGGTGGCCAAATGTAGCTGCTATTGGAAAAGAGGAGGAAAGCACTATGCTTTTATCAATTCAACTGGTACCACTTGCTAGTGTTTTTTTTTTAAGCAGGATGAAAAAAATTCAAGAAAAACACATACACACATAGCTATAATGGTTCCTTGCCCTTGCACAAACATTTACACCAAACATCTGGAATGGATTTTTCCAGATAATCACTAGTGTTTTTTTAGAGATAAGGCTAGCGCCAAAAGGTTGTCATCACAATGCATACACATGAGTGTTTGGCAGAAATGTTGACTTACTTTGCTTTGCATATTCTTAATTTGAAGATTTTGCTTTTCCAGTTTATATTGCTGGAATTTAATTTTTTCCATAAGTTCATTGATTCTTTTGCTCTGCATTTCCATTTGAGACTGAAATTAACCAAATAGTGCAACATTTAGACAAACATTATTTCTCTTTTTAGAAATTCACATATTCACATGCCCCCCAAAAATCTAAAGTTTGGCAAAAATGATGTCCATTGGATAAAGTGTCCCATACCAGTCATGCAAATGTATTCTTAATGCAACACTTTAATATTGATATAACAAGATAAGCAGCGCTAGGAGTTCAATTAGCTGTATATCACACAGGTGGCAGTGATTTAAACCAAAATAGTATTTCCTTAACACCTTACTTATATTAAATACTGCAAAGTCAATGTGATGATTTTTTTGTACTCACCTCTCTGCCGGCTTCCGTTGGAGATCCGGTGATGTCATGGACATCGACGTCACCGGACTCCAAAAAAATACACACACACATGCTATGTGTGTTGAACTCCATAAAATACATTCAGAGAAACTGAATATATTGTACAATATATATAATACATTGTCCCACCTCTAGTGATTTCACTACAATCCTCAAGAATAGTTGTTGTAAACCCAGAGAGGGTTTTTTATCAACATATATTGCCATATATTTCCTAGGGACTCCATACTTATTGAACAGGTGATACATATCAGTGGGTTTGCAGTATACATTGTAAATAATACTGAGGTGTGTTTTGGGGTAATGTTGCAAGCTTATTTATTAAGCTGGTCATATACTGGTAGGTTTTCTTCGGAACATTCGATAATGCCATCAGAGATATGTTGAATGTTGTTCGAAATTTTGTTTGATATTAACATTTGATGTTGCAGAATGAAGTTTCCCTGAGCAAAAACCACATACACTGTTATAATGTTATTTGACAATCGTCGATTTGAACGTTCCAAAAACAAATTTTCAAACTATATTCTACTGGTGTATGGCAATCTTTAGATTTCTGTACTTATTAAGACAGGTATGAAAGGAATCATTTAAAGCTTACCTGAATGCTCTGAACATCTTCCTTGGTACTGAAGTTGTTGTTGTTGAGTTCCAAGAGCTGGATCTTCACTTCTATGTTCTGCAGCCTCCTGTCCAGAACCTCTCTGCCCTTACTGACCTCTTGTAGCTTTTCTCGGAGGAGCAGGGTTAAATCCTGCAATTGTTTATCTCTTTGCTCCAGCTTTTGCATCCTGTCTTTCAGCACATCCGTGCTGTCTTTTATTTCCTTGGCATTATTGAGGAGTGCTGCTATAGAAACGTTGTGCTGGTTTAATTTGCCTGTAATCTCCCTCATATGTATTTTAGTTTTATCCACATGCTCTTTCAAGCCATGTCCAAGCTGGAGTAACCCATGAGCAATTACATTCATTTCATCCCACGAGGCATACTTTGTTTTCTTCTCAGATGATAGACCCCAGCTCTCAACACTGTTTAATGAAACAAGCAACATTAAACTTGAAATAAACAACTTCATTGTGTTTCTGCTTTTGAAATCTGTCTAAATTTTTTGTATTGTGTAGTCAAAAAATCCTTCTTCTGCCCTAAGTGGTTACAAGGAGAATAGGATCACTGACAAGCACATCTGAACTCTTTTCTTGCCTTAGGTCTGTCTGGTTGTAAAGCTAATAACTCTTTCTAGCTGTCAGGAGGAGGAACTCTCCTTATTGTGTAGGCTGGGAGTGTGACTGGGGCTGGTCTTAACCCTTTTGCTGCAAAGATTCTGTGCGTACCCTGCTCCTCTCATAAGGCCAGGCTTATTTTAACAATTTTGTTTTACAAAATAGTGTTCTACATAATGTATTGGTCATCTGAACTCCACAAACCCTACACTTTTTTTGAGAGAAGGAATCAAGAAGAATTCATATACTGCATCAATGTTGTTGCATAACCCACTGTATATCTGTAAATTAAGAAACAAATGTCAAATGTCAGGGAGAAAACTTGATAGCCAACAATTCATACAGCATGTAAAAACACAGATGCAAAACATTTGTTAGAGTGTTCTGTAGATTTGATAAATTTTTTACACAATACTGCCATGAGAAATATATCAGTTTGTATCAATTAAAAAACATCCTTTTAGCTAATATACCAAAGAGAAATTCTCAGGGGTTTATTCATAAATATTTTGCATAGCTTTTTAATCTAGCAAAACGGCATGTACATTTGTTCTGTACAGGTTAACCAGCTGTTGTGAGAATGGGTCAAAAACTAATGTTCGTAGTGTTATTTCTCTTCTAGTTGCATGTTCTTCAATAGGTTTATTCATAAAGAATATGAATGAGCTCAGGTTTTGGGGAACCCGGTCCAAACGTGAGCTTCTTCGAACCTGGAAGGGACATGGAGCCACTCCCTTAATCAGCTGCGCACCGGGGCCACCCTGCAAATGCAGATAAACAAAGGGGTGGGATGCTTGTGCTGACATCATCGATCTTATATGGCCACATGGTCATATTAGTCAATCTTGTGTATCAAATATAGCCACGTGGCTATATAAAGTCATTGATGCCACAGCATCCTGACCCATTGCTTACATGCAGTATAATTGGGCAGCAGCGGAAGATGCTTCCTTCCATGTTCAGAGGAGCTCAGGTTCAGACCCTGTTCTGTCTGAACCTGAGCTCATCCCTAATAAAGAACAGAGTAAATCTGGAAAATACCACATAATGACCACTAGATAGAGCTGTTCTTTATGAGTTAACCCTTTTACATAACATTCAACCTATTACACTAAGGGACTTATTCACTATTGAGCCTAAAGGATACAGCCGTAGCGTCGGCTGATCCTTCGGCTCTCTTTGGCCGCCGGAGCCCTTGGGTTCATTCGAACCAAAGTGCTGCTGTACGGGCTATGCACAATCAGTGATAATAAGAGTGGCTCAGCCAAACCGAAGGTATATGCTTTGGCTAGACTGAGTTGAAGTGACGGCCGAAGCGGGGCGAACTGCCTGCCGAAGGCCGGCTGTTCGCCCCGCAAATGACAGTTGGGCAGAGCTAGCCGTGATCTCAGTTGTAATGACAGATGCTGATCTGTCATTAAAGGAGAACTATGAGGTGAGTGCTTTTCACTCACCTCATAGTTCTAGCCGACCTGTGACAATGAGACTGTCACAGGTCGGCTCAGTAGATCGGGAAGTGAGCGAACACATACCGGCGTTCGCTCACCTCTTGATCCTGTCACAGCTCTCTGCGGCTGGATTACCCCCTCCCCGAGCTTGTACAGCTGGCTCTGCCTCTAGATAGGCAGAGCCAGCTGTCACTCACGCAGCTGGGCGGATCCAGACATAACTGTCGGGATCCACTTCAGCTGCGGCGTCTCAGTATACCGCAAGCTGTAGCCCACGGTATACTGAGCTTAGGGTGACAGGAGGATGCTAGTTTGTGTCCTCTCTTTACCCTAAGGAGAACTATGGGGAAAACCCTTAACACCATAGTTCTCCTTTAAACAATAACAACTGGGTGGAGCCAGCCCTGCACAGTTGTTATTCATTGGCTGGGACCTGCTAGAAGACTCTGTTTTTTTTCTTCTTTAAAATATCTTTATTTATTTTTTACTTTACCTATTTTTTATCATTTTAAAAATCATTTTTCAATATTTTTTGTTTTCTTTTTACACTCTTTTCATTTATTTTCTATTCTGCTCGGTACCATGGAGGGGCATTCAGCTATTCACTCACTGCCATTCAGCCGCTATGAAAATAGGGGCAAATGGCAGAGAGTGAGCTGCCGTAGCTTCCACTCAGCTCATCCAGATGTTGGATCGGCTGAGTCGAAGTCCCTCTGCACTTCAGCTCACTCGACCATGCAGAGCATGTTCGGCTGACCTAAGGCAGCCGTACAGAGCCGATGTACAGCTGAAATCAGCCGTATAAGCCAGAAGTGAATAGCCAAATGTCATTCGGCTCTGTTCACTTTGGCTTGGTTATTCACTTGGCTGCCTTCGGCAGCTTTGTGATTAACCCTGTAAGTAATTTTACTTGCTGGTGCTGTTGCTCACATAATATGTCTGTGAAGTTTCTCATGTATCCAGGTCATGGTATATCTGTAAAAAATAAGTCAAGGCAACTGGACTTGCTGTATTTTTCTTAAAGACGTTTCACTAGTCATCCGACCAGCTTTCTCACATAATAGTTACGCCAGCAGCAGCGAAAGCGCTAAAGCAAATCTGTTGCAGAAATCAATCCCAGAATAACAGCTATCCCTAAAACAAAAATGAAATACTTACCTATCCCACAACCCGTGCCTCTGAACACCTCCTACAGTGAAGAGAATTCACTGCCCGAAGTCTCTGCGGAAATGAGTACGTCGGTGAATGCTGTTCTTTTGTGTCCCCGACTGTGCTCAGTGGTTCCTATTGCTAGCCTCTACATCACCACGGGATACAGTTTTAACATAGAGGTCCGTAGGAGGAATCAATGAGTGTAGCAGGCACAGATCGACTTTCCATGAAGTGGGATGATTTCTCTGCATCAAATTGTTGATTCGCAGAGCAGGTAGCGGAAGAGATGGATATTTACTTTCTTATTTTCAGGGACATCTGTCATACTGATCTTTGTGACAGACTTACTTTAATGTTAAAGGACTGACACTGCCGAATTCCTGCTTACCACATAAGTGGGCATCGTTCCATGTGTGAAATGTCCAAAACCTGCCACCTGTGCCGATGTCCAAAACAATCAATTAAAGACCTATTCACACCCGAGGTTTGTGCTAAGTGCACCTAGCGTGCGGTACCGTGTGATAGGTATGTTGCTATTCATTTGAAAGGCACCCCGTGCACCTCTTGGTTGCTATACGCGGCAGCAATAGATCTGCAATATTGTGTGTTGTGGAGGAAGCGATAGCTCAGCGAAAGACCACATTGCAAGTAAGCGAAGGCAGAGAAATATCTCTGATCAGTTTAAAGGGCAGCTTCTGAAAAGCTGGAAGAACCAGATTGAGGACTTACAGAGTCATTGGAGCAAGAACAGGGGGTACAATATGTGCCACTCCCTGCACAAAGGCCTTCACCTATGAGTGAGAGGCAAGTGGCCTCTGGAAGAGAATTGTAAGGCTAACTGCTGGTTCAGACCAGATTGGAGGAAAGGTAGAATGTGACCCAATGCAGTATTTACTATCGTGGGAATTCTTGGCATCATACCATGTGAAGTATGCCTTCATATATGTGTCATATGCTGCTCTTGAACATTTAACAAATTCTGCTGTTTTGCTGATACTCGCTCCATGGCTCTGAGCGCCAACAATCATCCCACGTTCATCCAAGGCTGTTAAATCGCGTTGTTTACCCATATCTTTAGAAAAAAAATCACTTCTACTGTCGTGGTAAGCAACCTGCTTCCCTATTTATAATGGTCTGGCCCTCTAGCAACTTCAGCGCAAAATTGTAGCTAATTTGCCTACAAACGTCAGGTGGTCATAAATCATAATAATCTGGCCACTCAGTATATATATATATAAGACAGCAGCTGCATGTAAACGCCTGCACGCCGCATGTAATGATACGTGATATAATTACATTTGGTTAAGAATCAGTCACTCTCCCTGGATGCAATGATTGTGTATTCAGGCAGAGTGTTTTCTAACCCGTGTAATAATATCACATATCAATACATGCGGTGTGCAGGAGTTTACATGCAACTGCTGTCACCTGATCATTAACTTGAATGGGTGACAGAGGCCACTTGTAAACGCCAGATTAGGGATTCCTGCTGCAGGAAAACGCAAGCTTCTGACGCAGGAAGCCCTAATTGCACCTAAAGATACAGGTATGAACGGAGCCTAATACTACCCCCCCTCACATAAAAAAAACCTATCCCTGCACATATAAAATAATAATCCCGAAATATAGTAAAAAAATAAAACCCACAGTGGTGATTAAACACCACCCAAAGAAAGCCCTATGTGTCCCCAAAAAATTGTATAAAATTAATTTCAGTACAGCGTTGCATGACGGAATAAATGTCAATCAAAGTACCGCAGCGCTGAATACTAAAAAATGGCCTGAATGGGAAGGGGGTCTAAACACCTGGTCTTCAAGCAGTTAAACTAGGCCCAGCCGCCCTAAACAACATATAGCAATCAATCGGCCGCCCGCCCGCGGGGTCCAGGGAGAGATCGTAATTCCACCGGCCCCGCCTGGGTGTCAGGGAGGACACACAGGCTGTTCCGGAAGCTTGGCAGCTTCTGTGTTCGGGCTGCGCCCTTTCTTCTCAGGGCGCATGCCGAGGCAAACCAAATGCCTTGGTTCCTTTAGCAGCGTAACGCCAGTGCGGCTGCGCCACTCCAACTTTGGGTGCACGCCAGCACAGGCTCTTGTAGGGCGGCCAATAAGAAGAGAACTGGGATATGAAGTGATGTCATCTCCCTGCCTCTCCCAAAGCTACACGCCGCTGTAGAGAGGTAAGACAGGGCAGTCTACATGCCCAATTATTGTAAAGGTGCCCATACACTGCACGATTCTCGTACGAGAATCGCGGGAAATCCCGCGATCGTACGAGAA